AAAAAAAAATAAAGCCGTAGCGCGCTGCAGGATCACTTAAGGACGTATGCTTACCTATTGTTTGCTTCAAGGGAAAGTGGCAAGGTGCTGGGCATCATCCTACCGTCACAAACCCTAATCACAACAGTCTGGGTTGATGACGTTGTTTCATATCATTTTAAAATGAAAATATTATTTTACATTACTACATTATTTTTCATAAGTGTTTTGCTTCGCGCGGATGGAAGGAGGTGATCCACAGTCACATTCTTCTGCCTGTACGAAGTAAACTTATGAAAAAGCTGCTGAATCTCCCGTCAAGGATTGCTTCAAGGAAACTATACTATAACCACAGTTAATTTTCATAAATACCGTGTTATTAATGACTGCACCAAAAAAAATTAAATTCTGTGACAAACGGATAAGTGGATGGACTATAGATAGGGGCGTACACAGAAACATTTAGAAGTATCACGCATGTCAAAATGATCGATAATGCTCTCTGTCCCACCTCGAGCAAAAAATGCCAGTCAACCTAGCGATTAGGGGCAAAAACCATACCCTTACAGTTTGTAAAGTTTTTTCTCCAAAATCCGCCTTACGCAAGAGATTAGCCGGCATTCAAAGATCGCGCGAAACCAAAATTGAGGAGACTCCAAGTGAGGTTCCTCAGCTCGGAGAAGGTTTTCACTTATAGTAATGCAAAAGTTGGTCCACTATTAACGATCTCCAAACACGCGAACGGCAGAGCATTTTTCCGCTGCGTTCTTTCTAAGAAGCGTTTCGCAAATAGGCAAAGATGTGATCATTCGATCTTACACCAGAAAAATGGATAAACATCCTTCTTTTTACAGATTCCTTTATCAAGTGAGACGGCTCCTGAGGTTGCTCTCAATGTGGCGATATGTTCCTGCTGTGCTTTGTATTGTTTTCTGTGAGTAAAACGTACCATGAGCACAGCGCACCGCACGTAATCCATTAAAGCGCGCTTTTTTTTGGAGATCCCTTATGCGGCCACAAACAACCGACCTTAGCGATCGCACCATTTTGGCACATTCATTTCATCGTCAAGATCAGCTTTCTCTTCTCCAAGCTTTGGGCCTAGTTTGTTATTAAACCAAATTCATCCTATAATGTGCCTACAACTAGCTCAAATCTATCCGTCTTGTGCCAATATAAGGCGACGATTGTCTGTGGACGCGTAACTATATTCTATTTTAAGTTGTTGCACACCAAATTCATTCAGCGGTGCTGGAGGCGAGGTTGGTCTTTTTGCTTTTTGCTGCTCCCGATACAGCTTTCAGGGCGTAACTCAACCAAAAATCATTGTAAGCTTAATGTTCGGTCTTCTTTATTCTAGTTTAGTTATCTTCTCAAACTCATATCATTAAGATTTGAAATTAAACATTAAAAGTATAAGCTGTAAAAGAGAACTGAAAGGACACAATAATTTTTTCTATCTTACGCATCAAGTCTTGTCAAGTCTTGAGAATTGGAAAAAGAAGAAGAAGGATAAGAAAGAATCTCCCTATTCTTTATACTGAATTCGAAAAGAACACTTGGAAAAAAAGGCTGGTATCTACGCAAAATCATAATCTAAGGGAAAGCCAACAATCAGAAAGAGGGGATAGAAACTAACTTCAGCGTAGCTTGAAAGAGTTCCAAAAATATGAGGACAGTCTACTACATGGCAGTGGAAGTGAATACGATGACGATTTAGATGTCAAAAAAATGGAAGAATAATAAGACTCCAAAAAAGCGCCTTGTCTATCAATGAAGATAAAGGAGATGTTAGGTAAACAATTAAGAAGTTCCTACAATCATAATTTGAACTGTATGGAATACTAAAAAGCATACCTGTGCCGGGCGGGTATGGAACTCGCTGGACCATTACACGCTGTCCAGGAGCAGCTCCGACCATCTGCTGTTGTCGCATGAATTGCATCTAAACTCGCTTTTTCCACATTAAAATTGTACCTCAAAGTTGCTTGATCCTTTGATATTGTTATGTAAAGTGCAAGAGAAAGCAATATGGAATGCATATGCAATTGGAACATAGAAAGTGTAAAGAGAAAACCAAGCAGGTCCAAATAAAAATTCTGGTATTTCTGACTGCAGCAAGTGCCGAAGTTAAAGAGCAAGGGGTAAAAACTTTACCTGCTGTTGCTGTGTCCATTGTGCCTGCGGCTGTTGGGCATAGTACTGCTGCGGATTTCCGGCCATCATCCCCATTTGTTGTTGAGTCATCATCTGTAAAGCATGAATGAGCATAGACTACTATAACAAATCCAAAAAGGAATAGAAAAAAAA